TGTGTGTGTGTGTTTTTTTCCCAGGAGGTCTTCCCCATCCACTATGGCCAGGAGTACGAGGCCACTCTGCACACATTTATATGGAAGTTCATCTCTAAACTGGATAATCTTTTGCCTGTACCGGATATTAAACAGGTACTGAACATTTTTAAGTGATAAACACTAGGGCTGCCCCCTAATAGTCGACCAAACATTAGTCGATCAAACATTAGTTGTCCAAAAAGGTCATTAGTCAGCAAGATTTCAAAACCATGAAGCTCTATTAGGAGCTGCTCCTTGTCAAAATAAATCAAAACCTTTATGACTGGACCATGTGGGAATTTAATTTGAAAGGACAGACTGGAAGTGTCCACGCTCAGCAGTAAGACAGGAGTCACGTTAATTTCCAGGGCTGGTACCTGCGGTTATTCCACAGGCTAGTTAATAACATATCAGGCAGGAAATCCAAAGTGTGGGATCATTTTGAGAAGGTGAAGGACGAACCCAAGGTGTTATGTAAACTCATCTTCATTGGTCGACTACAAACATGANCATTTTGAGAAGGTGAAGGACGAACCCAAGGTGTTATGTAAACTCATCTTCATTGGTCGACTACAAACATGACGTATCATCTGAAACATGGAAGTCGCTACATGCCCATTAGCCCACAGCGTCATTAACAGGCAGCTCAGTCAGTGTGTGACGTGCACTTGTATATTAACTATAGGCCCATATCACTTTTTCTTATCAGAGAATACGCTGAATACATAAATGTAAGATTTGATCACACAATAGTTTTTTGTCAAAGTAACTGTTACGAAGCAAGATACTAAATAAAGAACCAAGAAATGATTGATATTGTTGTTTAAACATGGTCTTTTTGTTACCTGTGCAGCACATGTTTATGATGTGTTTTGCATACATGTTATAGACCGCAGAGTGGCTCAGCACTGCCCCCTCTGTCATAGAGGAATGTGGACAGCTGGCTTTGGAACCAGAGCAGCTGAAGGTGCTGCTGCACTTCCACCAGCAACAGTCAGGAGGCGCAGACAAACGTAAGTCACCTTATACAGTGTTAAATAAAAACAACTAAATACACTCAGCTGCCCTAAACCAACCAGTTATTCTCAATGTTAAGATTTCTTGGAACATTTACTGATTTCAAATGTGATGGCAGAGTTTGCATTTCGAGTGATATTTTATATATTTGAAACTTATGAGTCTGTAATATCACAGCAGTGGGATGTTGATATGTTAGTCAACAGTCAGGCGTCGGTCAATGTCAGGCCATCAGTGAGTGTCTGTCGCCTTAGTTTTTGCAGTGTGAAGTGCACCGTTGGCAGCAGAGGTGGGGGACTCGAATCACATGACTTGACTTGAGCCCAGCTTGAGTTGCAAACCTGGAGGACGTGAGACTTGCTTGATTAACACTGATGAAATACTCGACTTGACTTTGACATGGTATTCATGACTTGAGACAGATGACTTGAAAGGACTTGACTTTTTTTATTTAATATTTTGATTTTTCTAGATATTGATAAGTGAGGTTTGGAGCAGGAGAGGAAGTATTTAAATCCTTCACTCGTAAAAGTAACTAATAATACTAAATGATTTTCACCACAGTGACTTGGGACTTGCTCAAGATTTGGAGATTTAGACTTGATTGGAGATTATGACTTATGACTTGCACATGTGTGACTTACTCCCACCTCTGCTAGTCAGCCCTGTCAGCTTTTTTTGGCTGATTCAGCATTTTGAATTGATGTTGGAGACGGTGGAGCCCGTCTGTGAATAAGAAGAAGAAACTGAAGTGAGGTAAGCAAACACAACTAAAGATCAGAACAAACTTGTTTTATTAGTAAGACTATTTTGTGTTGTTGTGTCTTCAGTCTGTCCTGTCGGTTTTTTCGTTTGCCCTTTTTTTTTAAAAAATAAATTACAAATACAGACTACTGCCCCCTGCTGGTATGGAGAGGTACTTCCTCTCACGTTGGCGCAGAACATATGTGCTAATTGGCCGTTGCCTGTAGTCTTTGCAGTGTGTTCATGTACAACTTTTTGGTCGAGGCAACAGTCTGCGTGTCACTGCTAGTTCTTTAAAGTACACCTCAACATTATTGCGTGTTTGCAGCTAACTCTCGATTCTAATTGGTTTCCTGTCTCTCCTCACAGGACACTCTCAAACTCAGGAAATGTTTTTGCCGAGACTGTCTCTTCCTCACAAACCAAACTCGTTGCAGCTCGCTTCGGAGCAACAGGAAGTGTCCTTAGGTGATGCAGATGAAGAAGAGTTTGATTATAGCAAGGATGAGGAGGCTGTTGAGGAAAACCAAATGGGTGATAAACCAACTCTGGAGGACTATAGTGAAGGAGGTGAAGACCTTAAGTTCAAAGAAGAACAGGAGGATGACCTGACAGCTGCAGAGTGCTCAAGTATGGCCGTATCCAATTATGGACACCATTGAAAATAATTGCTTCCTCATTGAATTTCCATATTCATATTATGTACATTTGTTTGTATAACTCTAGTAGTAATTTAAAGATTGGGAAAATTAGGGAACTTGGAAAAATCTGTAATCTAAATCTCCTCATTATTTTGTCTCTTTCAGATTTAAACAGTCATACGCCTTTAAGAGTGCACACCTGCTCTTTGTGTCTCTACTCCGACAGCCATGTGTCAGGTCTTCTGCAGCACATCAGACAGGCGCATCAGGAACCCAACCGATTTCAGTCTAAAGAACCCACGACAGCCAATGAGATGAGGAGCACAACAAACACTTGTGAGTATTGTGGGAAGGTCTTCAAGGATGTGTCAACCCTGAACAGCCACAGAAAAACACACACACTGCCATTCCAATGCGACAAGTGCGGGAAAAAGTACTACTCCAAAGCGTCTCTGGATGTGCACCACCGGATTCACACAGGCGAGACGCCATATTTGTGTTCGCACTGTGGCCGGGGCTTCAGATCCTCATACAGCCTTGGTTGGCATGTTCGCATACACACGGGAGACCGACGCTACAAATGTCAGATTTGTGGGAAGACTTCAATCCAGCACCTGGCGAGACACATGCGGATGCACAGAGGAGAAAAGAACTATCTGTGTACAGAATGCGGGAAGGCATTTCTCTCCTCCGGAGAGTTAAGGCTCCACATGAGGCTTCACACAGGGGAGCGTCCGTACACATGCAAACACTGTGGGAATGGTTTCATAGCAAAGTGCCTGTTGACAGTTCATATGCGCAAACATACTGGAGAGACTCCGTACAGGTGTTTACTGTGTCCGAAATCCTTTCAGACTTTGTACGCGCAGAAAAAGCATATGAGGATCCACTCAAACAAGAAGTCCTTCCAGTGTTTGAAGTGTGGTAAAATATTCAGGCAAGAAGAAACTTTTAAAATGCATGCTGAAACACACAATTGAAAGTAGTAGCTGGTGTTTAATGTAAGAAGTGTAAAATCATTGTTTGTCATAATGATTTAAACCACTGGTTCCCATCTGGTCCAGCCACAGGGTCCAGATTTCTCCTTAGTCATTAGTTCAAGGTCCATACGGTTTGATATATTCAGCATCATACTTGTGTTTGGAGAGGAGAGACTCATTTTTATTAGCATGTGCACATGAGAGTGAAAATGTGAAAAGTCTTTGGCGTTAGACCCCTTCGAGATGGTGTGCTTTAAGAAGGGTGATGAATTCGGGGAAACCCCCCAGGGTCTAGACGTTGGTGGTGGTAGCGGTGGTAAAAGAATATTGATTGACAAACACGCGAACACATTGTCTGCGGTCATTTCGACTTGACCAGCAGACTTCACTACAAGCTGTAGAAACAGGTGTCTTGCTTTAAACCGGCCGCCTGCGATTTGAAAGGTTAAACCATCAGTCAGCTTGAGCCGAGCTCAGATGGCCAGTTCACACCGCTGCAACTTTTCTCTGCAACGTTCTAAAGCGGATTCATCTCATCGTGAATCTTTGGTCTGATCTGGGCTTTAAAGATCACTGCTTGTTTATCTCCCCAAAATAAATGTGTATTGACACAGAAATGAACTACGCAACCACATATAATTGTATTTGTTCAGTTTATTTTACACCAGTATCAATAGAAGGAAGATGTTTACCTCTTACTATTCCTGTAGAATTCACCTAAAATGCCTAATTAAGGCATACCCAAAGTAAATTCCTAGTCCAATTACCTAGTCCAAGATAGCAATATCAAAGAAAATAAACAGTTTACAAATGTACATTCCAAACAATGTACTGAATGTGTAATGAAGAGTAAAAAAAAACAAATCAACAAAGACAGGAATAACACAACCTAAATTTTTTACGAAAGACCCATTTCTTTTTCATTTATGTAATTTTTAAGGGTCTATACTGACAATAACTGGTTAAAAACCTCCTCTCCAGGTCAGGAGTTTCATTGGCTACAAGACCCATCAGTCATTGAACTAAGCGCTTGATATTGTCTGGCTCTGTAACCTGAGAAGAGAGGCAGGCCTTTCCTTTAACACAGGCTCTTGTTGGCTATTGTAGGCTGTGGAGAGGACAGGGAAGTGCCAAGTAGGTGTCAATCAAATAGTTGGAATTCTGCCACTAGTTTGGTATCATGTGGCATGTTTACATGTGAACTAGGGGTATTATGGACAATACGTGGAGAATATATGACGTTTGAAATGACGGTAGTCCATCGATATCTATGGTTGTTATAACGTGTTTGGACTAAATATTTTGCTGGATTTAGATCGTCTGGACCTTTATGAGGACTGTTTTTGTATCCACCTCCCCTCACATCTGAAATCTTGGCGTCATTTTCGATCAATTCCTCTCCTTCGACCAGCACGTTAAACACGTCACCAAAACAGCCTTTTTTCACCTCAAGAACATTGCCCACCTCCGTCCATCCCTATTCTTTTTTTTCTGTTTCCGTCCCCATTTTTGGTCGCCCCTCTGTTGGGGTACCTAGCACACAGATCTGGTGCTAAAAGGTGGAGCTGTGAACATTGCAGTCTGTTGATTAGTTAATGGAGGACGGTCACTCAGCTCAGGGCTGAGCTGTGGCTGGTTTTGAGGCTCATGTTGCCACTGTTCATACTGTGGAGAGTTTTACATACAGTATATTAGTAAACTGTAACTATAAAATGAAAGGATGCTTTGCTGCCTCCTGCAGCAGCTGGAGTCTGAGAAAAACTTACTTAACTCACTGGGCTGACTGCCGGCAACTTTTAAGGTGGAACATTTGTAATTGTAATGTTACTCAATTCATGATTCACACCTTAAATTTCACTGTGACAACTTACTTTAGCTTTTATATGACATACAATTTTAGTAATGAGTGGATCTTCAAGTGTTTATATATAT